AGTTTTCAGCAATTATTTCTTCAAATACACTTTCTATCCCTTTTTCTCTCTCTTCTTCTTGTACCCCTATAATGCGAATATTGTTCCTTTTGGATTGGTCACACAGTTCTCTTGATATTGATTCATTCCTGGGTATCCTTTTATCTCTCTCTGCGTCAGCTTCTATGCATTCCTGTTCTCTGGTTTCTATTCCATCAATGGCCTCTTGTATCTTATCCATTCTGCTTATAAATCCTTCCAGAGATTGTTTCATTTCTGTAATCTCCTTCCGGACGTCATCCCTTAGCTCTTGCATATTTCTCTGCAGCTCCATCTGCATCGTTATGACCTTTAGTTTGAATTCTTTTTCAGGGTGATTGATTAGGTCTATCTTCCCAGATTCTTTCTCAGGGGAGGATGTCTGGGTTAATCTGGTCTGTACCAAATTCTTCTGCCTTTTCATGGCAATAGAGGTAGTTGTGGAAAGCTGGCACATGTGTTGGTTGGGAGAACATCCCTTCTTGCTAGTTGTGGCCTTTCTCTCCTAGGAGAACAGCGACCCCCAGCGGCTTGTGCTCGGCAGCTGCGCACAGACAGGGTTTCTAATTCTTGCCCAGCTGCTGTGAAAGAAGCTCTGCCCTGCTGCCTCAGGCTGCTGCTCCACTATGGCGGAGCGGTGTTGGAGGGGTAACGGGAGGGAGGCTGTTTATCTCCGTGAGGGTCCTCCAAGCTGTGCTGCCGCCCAGGGGGTTAGGGCACCCGGAGTTCCCCGGGATTCCCAGCTGCTGGGCTAAATGTCCTGGGATGTTTCTGTCCAGCTGTGGGGTCCCTGTTCCCTTTAAGTCTTTCAAAAAGCACTCGCTTTTCTTTGTCCCAGGGACAGTGGCTGCAGGGACCCACTCGCAGGTTTTACTGTCCCGTTTCTCTAGTATCCAGCACCCCACTCACTGTGTGTTTGCACTCCCTGTGCGGATGGCTAGGGCTGGGTGTTTAGCAGTTCTGGGCTCCCTCTCCCTCCCCTCTCCGACTCCTCTCCTCCTGCTGGGAGCTGGAGTAAGGGGTGCTCAGGTCCTGCTGGGCTGCGGCTTGTATCTTACCCCCTTCGCGACGTGCAGGTTCTCGCAGGTGTAGATGTAGCCTGGCTGTTGTCTTATATCTTCTGGTCTCTCTTTTAGGGATAGTTGTAATTGTTGAATTTTCAAAAATATATATGGTTTTGGGAGGAGATTTCTGCTGCTCTACTAATGCCGCCATCTTGGCTCCACCCTTCTGGTACCCCTATAATGCAATATTGTTCCGTTTGGATTGGTCACACAGTTCTCTCAATATTCTTTCATTCTTAGAGATCCTTTTTTCTCTCTGTGCCTCAGCTTCTTTGTATTCCTCTTCTCTAGTTTCTATTTCATTTATCGTCTCGTCTCCTCCATCGTATCTAGTCTGCTTTTAATACCCTCCATTGTGCTCTTCAATGATTGGATCTCTGACCGGAATTCATTCCTGAGTTCTTGAATATCTTTCCATACCTCCATGAGCACGTTAATGATTTTTATTTTGAACGCCCTTTCAGGGAGATTCATGAGGTTGATGTCATCTTTCTCAGGAGTTGTATTAATAATTTTACTTTGAGCCAGGTTCCTTTGGCATTTCATATTTGTATATGGCGCCCTCTAGTGTCCAGAAACTCTGCTCTCTGGAGCTGCTCAGCCCCTTTAGCAATGTCTGAGGTTACAGGGGAGCAGTATTGGTGCCTGAGGGAGGAAAGAGCTGTTTTCTGCTTCCTGGCTGCTATGCCTGTCTCCACTGCTTGAACCAGTGGGCTGAGCACACAGGTATAAGCCTCTGTGCTTTGTGTTTGTAGTTGCTGTAGACAGATCTTCCCTCTGGCTGGCCTAATGCCAGGGTAGGGTTTGCTGGTTTGTGAGCCAGGTGGGCCTGGCCTGGAGAAAGACACAGTAGGCTGTCTGTCACGGAGCAGGTCCTTGGAGCTGTGTAGCCAGCCAAGGAGCTGGAGCACCTGAAAATCGTGAAAGCTCCCAACCTGCTGGGCAGAGTGCACCTGGACCATTTTGTCTACCTATCCTTTCTCCTGAGCAGTAAGCTCTGTGCAGTCCTTGCCCCTTTAGCAGCCCTTTTGCTACAAGCTTCCTTGTTAGGAAGTCTCTCAGACTGCCCGCCTTTCTTTTGTTCAGAGCAGCCAGATATGGATCCCTGCTTTCCACAAGCAGCTGGAATCTCAGTCTCTTTAGGAATTCTGCTGGTCTTAGCTTTTCAATCCCCTTATCATGAGAGTATCATCAAAGCACCATGAAATGTAGGTTTGTTCTCCCAGAGCAGATCTCTGGAGTTAGGTATTCAGTGGTCCCAGGCCTTCCACCCCCTCTCTGCTCCATTTCTCTACCTTCCTCCGGTGAGCTGGGGTGGGGGAAGGGCTTGGGTCCCACCGGGCCACAGCTTTGGTACGTTACCCTGTTCCTTGAGGAACAGGTGTATGCAGTTTGACACAGCCCTCTTTCCTGTTGCTCTTTCAGGATTAGTTGTATTAATTATATGCGGTTTTAGGAGGTAGCCTCTGTCTCACCTCTCATTCCGCCATGTTTAATCCAATTATGGCTTTTACTTTTAATTCTTTTTCAGGAAGATAGGTGGTTTCAGTTTCATTGAGCCCTCTTTCTGGTGTTTGGGGGGGATTTTGGATTGAACAAGGTTCTTCTGCCTTTTTATAATCCTCTTGGCTAATGAGAAATATTAGGTTTGTGTAGGTGGCACCCTCTAGTGCCTAGATGCTCTGGTCTTCGGAGCTGCCCAGCACCAGGAGCAATGGTAGTAGTTGCAGGTGAGCAGTGTCAGTGTCTATGCTGTTTCCTGACACCTGGCTTTGGCGCCAGCCTCTGCTGTCAGAGCCAGTGGGCTGTGTGCAAGAGGCAGCCTCTGCGTTCAGTCCCTAAGCTGCTGTAGGCAGGGCTGCCCTCCACCTGGACTAGAGCGATGGCGGGGGTCACAGGCATGCGGCGCTGGTACCTCATAGGAGGACAGAGGTCTTTCCTGGTTCCTGGCCACAGTGCAGCAGTTTCAGGTAGATTAAAAGTTATGTATTTTAATAAAATAGAAAAACTAGAAAATAGCATAGCATATCAAATCTTCTGATAGGAATGGGGTTCCTATAATTAGGGAGTAAACACCAAGGTAAAGATCAACAAGTTTTATCATGTAATATTTTAACTTAGGATAAAAAGAAACCTATAGAGCTTTCATCAAAAATAGGCAGATTGGAAAAAGTTCTTTTCAGCAAACACAAACAACAAATACCTTGATCACACAGATACAAATTGATAAGAAAAAAATAAGGCTGCAATAGGTAAGTGAGCAAAGAACATGAATAAGCAATAAACTGAAGAGGAAATATATCTAGTTAATAAATGTGGAGAAAAGTTCATGTTCATTAATCAGAGAATTGACTAAAGCAGGGAATAACTGTCCACTTATTAAAATAGTAGAGTTTTAAAATGATATCCAGAATTGTTGAATTTTCTTGATATAACAAAGGGGAAAGGAATAAACTATATTATGTACCTGCCATATAGATTTTACATAACTTATTTTTTAATGCTTTTAGCAGCTCTAGAAATCAGGCTTTTTTCTTGACTTTTTGCCTGGCAAAATTGGAAGTCAAAACTGGCAAATGATCTAGTATAGGACCATCTGTCTCTGAAGTCCATGATTTTTTCACTCTATTTAATGCAGTTGTGAATGCTGTTGGAGTTGTAAAAACAACTGTTTTGGGAAAATGGCTGAGTAGTACTTACCAAGAGTTTTAACCATTCATATTCTTTTTTTTGAGAGGGCATCTCTCATATTTATTAATCAAATGGCTGTCAACAACAACAAAATTCTGTATAGGGGGGTCAATGCTCAATGCACAATCATTAATCCATCCCAAGCCCAATTCTCATCAGTCTCCTATCTTCTGAAGCACAACAAACAAGTTCTCACATGGTGAACGAATTCCCACATAGTGAATAAGTTCTTACATGGTGAACAGTACAAGGGCATTCATCACAGAAACCTTCGGTCTTGATCACACATTATGAATTATAAACAATCAGGTCAAATATGAATATTTGTTTGACTTTTATACTTGATTTATATGTGGATCTCACCTTTCTCCCTTTATTATTATTATTTTTATTTTTATAAAATGCTGAAGTGGTAGGCAGACGCAAGACAAAGGCAGAAAACATAGTTTAGTGTTGTAAGAGAGCAATTGTAGATGATCAGGTGTGTGCCCGCAGACCATGTATTAACCCAAGCTAGACAAGGGCATCAAAACATCCACGGATGCAGAAGATCTCCCCCAAAATAGGGGGGGTGAGGTTCCAAGCCCCACCACTGCCGATCCCCAACTTCCCACCCGATGGCCCCCCCGCGACCATGCCCGTCCCAGGCTGTTCCTCCCCCGAGGAATCCCACCCGTCTCCGGCCAACCAGCCATCCTCCGGGGCCACACAGGGAGACATTCATATTCTTTTTGTATTCAGTATTTCTTTTAGGAATCTATTCTAAGGGGAGACTATCCCCTAAATAAAAAAAGCCTTATGTCCAAAGATGTTTGTTGCAGCATTATTTAGGTGAGTGAAAATTGGAAGCAGTGTAAATGTCTATTAGTATATTAATTAAATAAACTGTTAAACACCATCAGATAGGATATATTTTACAGCCATTGAAAAGTTGTATCATAGCATGATTGATGATAGGTGAAAACAGGAGTATATGAAATTTTACATACAGTATAATTGCAGCTTTTTTGGCTCTCAGAGTTCCCTTCCACCCTGAGATCAGCCTGTGTTCCTAGGGCATACAGAGTATCCCAGAGTATGTTTTGTTTGGATAACCAACAATGACTGGGTGGGGAGGGCTCACCATGTCCTGTGAACCTCATCCTTTTTGGCGTGGCTTTGTCTGAGCAGTCAGGACCAGATCTCAAAGGCACCCACATGGATTACTGTGCATTTCCTTTCTCATAGGCACTGAAGTGGCAGCAGCACCAGGGGTTGCTTCCTCCTGGCATGACCATAGATTTGTTCCGAGGCAAAGCAGCTGTGAAAGATGTGGAAGAAGAAAAGTTTCCTACACAGTTGAGCAGGCATATTAAGGTACAATCCTTAGACACTCAAACTGATGGTAATCATTTGTTAAGGACTCAACATGTACTTGCTCAGTCAGCCTGTGCCAGGAGGCATGGTTCTCCAGTTCTGATGGTATTTAGGGTGCTGCTGGTAACTGCTGGGGTTCTCCTGTGGCACACCTCAAATGTATAGTCCAGTGGATATACATTTGACATTTGGCCCATCATTTGCCTTTGCACTTCCTCCAAAGAATCCTGCATTTGGAAGAATGGTTAGCCCTTTGTTTAAGCCTAGGTCTATGAACTTTCTGTATTTGTCCTATTTAGCATTGGTGTTTTTGCCTTCTACGTGTCAGGCAGAGTATTCAGGCATGGAGTGTGGAGTAGGCTTGTGTGGTGTTTGAGGAAAATAATTTTAGCATTTTATGACTGGCTCTTTATTTTTTAAAATCTGAGACTTTTTTAGGAAAATACACAATCAAGTAATTGCTGCAACCCTGAGAATTACAAGCATATTTGCTGCTTCATCTCCTTTACATTATAATTTCTCTCTGGGTTGTGTTCTCACTGAATGTATGATTTAAAAAATATTTCATATTCCTCAAATCTTTAACTTTGGCTAGTGCTCTGCATTTGTCTCTCCTGGGTTATGTGTTCTAACTTGCATGTACAGATACTTTTGAGCAGCACCTTTTTTTACCCTGGCTGAAGCCTTGAGACAAATAAAATCCACTGTAATTATGCTGCTGGGCTAAGATTTTCTGTTAAAAACACTTTCCTTTTTTGGTGTTTAAAATGAGGTTCATAATAGAGCTATTCCCTGTTCTTATCTGGCTACTGTTCTGTAATAGTTTTTATCTGTTACTGGGAGCATCATTACTGGTTAATGCTGAGGCAAACAATCTTATCAGCTTTAACTAGTTCTAGAGTTAGCCGCACATTATCATTTGATTGAAAATGAAAGTGATGAGAAGGAACAGTGATGGAAAATTTATTTATAAAATATAGGAAAACAGACAATTTGAAAAAAATGAATTTTTTTCTACAGTGCAGATGCACAACAGGAACATATTAAGCCATTTTAAGTTCAGTGTGAAAGTCATTCTAACAGTGGGTAATTTCTGTTAAATTACATATTGTTTGAGTTAACAGGATTATTTGTTCTAAGTCCCATGTAGTAAAACAGTTTTTCCACTTTTCTTTGAAAATACCAGCTTCACATTAAAAAGCTAGTGTTCAGCTGAAATCCTAGATATAAAACTGATCAGAGAAAAATTTTCCACTATATCTCTGTATCCAGGTATACAGAAGTGCCTCTCCAATCCCACATAATGTAGACTAGCTGTGACTTTAAGCTAGGGTAGTGTTTCTCAGAAAGTTAAATAGGAATTGTTTTAAGGCCACTAGATAAAAATGTGTCTGTTTCATTGTTTCATTTGAAACAGTTTGGTCAGAAATCACATGTGGAGTGTGCTCGATTTTCTCCAGATGGTCAGTATCTGGTCACTGGGTCTGTTGATGGATTCATTGAAGTATGGAACTTTACGACCGGAAAAATCAGAAAGGTAAAATATTAAAATATATTCACTTTTCTAGTGTGAGAATTCTCTATAATAACATAATTATGTCATTTATACAATTTGAATTTATTTTTTAGATGGGTAGTATGTATATGTGATGCAACAGTTTATGAAATAGAAAAATTATTCAGTAAAGAGCCTTACTCCCACTCTTGTTCCTCAGTTGGTCAGTTTTCTTCCTTGTTCTAGCCAGGGTTACCAGTTTCCTATGTAATCTTCCTGGAATATTGTAGGTAGATGTAAGCAATTACTTACTGTTTCCAGTTTAACCTAATTATAGTACTAATTGTGTGTCTCCTATTATGAATAGAGTATCTTTTTATATATGAAAAGCCACTAATATTTCCTGTCCCATGAAATCTGTTCATCTCCTTGGCCCTTTTTCTTTTGGATTGTTCCTTATGGATTTGTAATATGTATTAAAAATATTTTTAAATTTTGACTTTTGCCTTTTGCCTTTGCTTATGATTTTGCTTTGTAACCTAAAAATTTTTTGTATCATCATACTCATCTTTTCTTCTGGTACTTTTGTTTCATTTTATGTTTAATTTTTTATCCATCTGGAATTTGTTTAGGGGGATAAAATTGTAGATCTAACTTAATTTTTTCCCCAAATAGCTATTTACTGACTGTCTACTAATTTAAAATGTTGTCTTTATCACAGAGCACTAAATTCCACTCCTTGGGCAGTGGATTTGTGAATAATTTTCACTTTTATATGTTTTCACAGTTTATAAATACTTGATACATTTCTTTATAGTTTCCTTTTTTAAAAACATGAAGCAGTCTAACTTTATAATTAGAAAAAAACACTTTGATTTGAATAATAATTAATTATAAAAGAAACATCACATCACAAATAAATAAATTAGTCAATATGTGGTTTTAGGAAAAGTAGCTAACAGTTTAAAAAAAAGTTTTTCACATACTCCTAAAACATTCAGATTTATTAAAGATGTGCAATATGAAACTGTAGGGAAATTTTGCTTAGAAATATAGTAAGCAAAAAATGTAGGGTATTTTATTGGCATTTTTTACAGTATTCATTTGAATAGTGTAGAATTGTTTATTCTCCATTCCCCACATTATCAGTTGTTCATTAGGAATGTGTTTGCATGACACTACTGTTTGCTTTGGAGATTTAGAGTAAGTACAGTCCATTTTCCTACTTTCAGTGAGTTTGTAGAGATCTGGGGTAACAGGTTTTTGTGTTAGTGTTATTTTTATAACTGCTTATCACTTTTCCTTTAGGACCTTAAGTACCAGGCACAGGATAACTTTATGATGATGGATGATGCTGTCCTCTGCATGTGTTTCAGCAGAGATACAGAAATGTTAGCGACTGGGGCCCAAGATGGAAAAATCAAGGTATGGTTTAATGGCACAAACTGTTGTATGTAAATGTTTTGAGAGTTCTGCAATGAGGTAGTGTCCTATATATGATATTCAGCTTAATAACAGCTGTTGTTGAGCATCAACTTTATGCTAATCACTTTTTTCTTGTTTAATCCCAATAATAACTGCCTAGGTAGGTCCAATAATTTAAGATCACACAGTTGGTAAGTGATAGATCTGGGATTTCAGTCTAGATCTGCTTATACCCTTTGCACTGTACCACCCTGGCTTGCCTTACATGATGTATTATACTTTGTTTTTTTTAGGAAGTGGGATGGTCTACAGCGATTAGCTATGGTCTGTATTTAATTGCTGGTAAAATGCCCTGGGCTAGGTAAAATACAGAAATGGTCTCTGCTAATTGAACTTACACATTTTTGTTTTAATCATTTATAAGGAAAGAGGTTTAAGTTTCAAAGGATTCAGTTATCATTGTACTATGTGTACCAGACATATATTCAGCTATTAGCATGCATTTATTTTTTATTTTTTATTTTTATATCATTAATATAAAATCACATGGGCAACATTGTAGTTACTAGATTTCCCCCCATTATCAAGTCCCCACCACATACCCCATTACAGTCACTGTCCATCAGTGTAGTAAGATGCTGTGGAGTCACTCCTTGTCTTCTCTGTGCTATACTGCCTTCTCCATGCCCCCCCAAGTTATGTGTGCTAATCGTAATTCTCCTTATTCCCCTTGCTTTGTTCTTATGTATTAGCATGCATTTTTTATGTTGTTTTAGTACATTAGTGGGCGTTGCATCTTGTTGGCTCTGCAGGCTAGAGTGGAACACTGTTTACAAAGTTTTGCTTTTTTTTGTGTGTGTTGTAAAGGTATGGAAGATTCAGAGTGGACAGTGCTTGAGGAGATTTGAAAGAGCACACAGTAAAGGTGTCACCTGTCTAAGCTTTTCTAAGGATAGCAGTCAGATCCTTAGTGCCTCTTTTGACCAGACAATTAGGTAAGTAAGAGTCTCCTAACTGCCTTCACTTAGTGAAGGGTCCTAGTGATTCCTTATATTTTCAATAGGGTATTATTTGGAGAGAAAGGGTATGTGAAACCTCATTTCCCTAGTCAGATTACAGCTTACCCAGTGCTGTTGTTTTGTACACTTGAGATTAGAAAGGGGTCATAGCAGTGTTTAATGTTTTTTAAAGTGTGGTCTTTGGACCCACCTGCATCAGAAATCACCTTAGAGGGCATATTACAAATGGTTTCCTGTGGCCCAGCCAAGTGTGTCTTTGAACAGAAGCGTTTGGTATTATTGACATATTTTCTACCACTCTCTGTGTCAATCACTTGTTTTATTTGACTGTTTGATAAAATGAAAATTATACTATAGGTATAACTGCATAATCCTAATCACCTAATACTGTAACATGAACTTCTATGATTCATCTAAAATACATTCAACACTTGGTCCCAACCATAATATGTAGAATATTAATTGTTCTTTTCATTTGCTTTTGTGATAGAATTCATGGTTTAAAATCTGGGAAAACTCTGAAGGAATTTCGTGGCCATTCCTCCTTTGTTAATGAAGCAACATTTACTCAAGATGGACATTATATTATTAGTGCATCCTCTGATGGCACTGTAAAGGTTAAGTATTTGCTACTGGTTTATTTTGGGCATATATTCCATTTTTGTTGAGTTTTCAGTGGTGATAATGGTAATAACTGGTGAAGTAAATCTCTTTACTAGTTATTATTGCCATAATTGGGTGAGTCTGAGACAATAGTAAAATTCTGTGAGTAAGGACCTATTGGCCTAAGGACCTCAAATCTCAAACCTACAAAATAAAAACAGACTTCATCATGTGTAGGAAAAGAGGGAGGGGGTGAAGTCCTAAACTTAAGTCATCACCCATTACAGTGGTTAAATTCTATCTTACCATAGGTATGGTCCATCCAGAACAGTCAAATTCACAAAGGGCTCAGTGCCCAAATAAATAGATCCATTTCTTATTACACAACCTCACTCCACCCTTGGCCCCCCACATTTAGGGCCTTTCTAACAGCATCCGTTCACAGAGGAAGGAGTAGGAGAGGTGTAGAGTAGAACTAAGCTCCCTCTCAGATACTTACTGCCCTTGGCTATCAGCTGAAAGTAATGGATCTTAAGAGATTTAGTTATTTCAAGAGATGGCCTCATTAGGAAAGATGAGAAATCCAAACAGAATATTGTTGGAGATCTCTGAGACACTCCATGTACATCCTAGACTTGCATTTAAATTGCCTAATGTAAGTTAGTGCTTTGTGGTAGAAGACATACTAAACATTTTAATACAAATACCTAGAAGTCAGACCATCCTCTGAGATTGCTTGTTCTGGCTTGGGAATTAAAACAAGAAACCTGAGGGTGGGAGATGTATTCTTCCTCAGGATGGATGGAGAGATACACAGAGCTTTTAGTATTTCAGTGATGAAATTTGCCCTCTTCATGCTATGTATATGGGCCTCACAACGTGTAAAAGGCCATTGGAGGTGGTTTGTCTAGGCCTTTCTGTTTTTTAGCTTTTTCCTTTAGTTGTGCAGTGAGTAGGGTAAAGCATCTTCTGGCCTTTTGGACAGAACACACTAGAAGTTGTAGAACTCTTGATCCCTGAAATGTTTTTCTCCAATGTAACTGCGCTTGAGAGAGGAGTTTGGGGCAGATGGTAACAGTATTTATTAGGAAAGTAACAATTTTCTCATAAACACAGGGGCCACTAGTGGGGGCAACTATTTCCTCCTGTTCTAGATATTCAGCATCTGTTCTGTGCTATGCTTTGTTGACAGCACAGAGGAAACACCGCAGTCTACACCCTCGAGGCTTTTATAACTCATTGAATGGTGTCGGACAATGCCATGCAATGGGTGGTGTATCCCTTCTCTAAGCACATCTCAGATTTCAATAGCTGATGTCTGATTTAACCCCTTCAGTTCCTGACAGCCCAGAAGGGCAACGTGAAAAGTATTAGCAGGGACAAATATTATCAGAAGACATGTTGGACTGGGAGAGAGAATACAAGTGGCAAGAGTGGCTTCCACTTCATGGATCCCCATCTGTGCATTAACATCGTGACTTCTGTTCAGTGGTTCAGGCTGTACACTGGAATCATTTGTGGAGCTTTTTGAAAATGCACACACACCTATCCCCACCCCAGAGCTACCAAATCAAAATCTCAGAGAATAGGGTCCCAAGCACGTAACTCTAAAAAAAAACCTCCATTTGATTTTGATATCCAGATAAGGGTAGTTTTCTGGTGGTTTATGACTGTAATAGTGTTGACATAGCTCATTTCAAAGATAGCTTGTTAGGAAAATTTTTAAAGAAAAGATTATAGATTTTTAAAAGATTTTTATTATTTAGCTTTGTGACTTTTATTTATTCCAGTTTATCAGCAAATAGGTGATGTGTGCTTACTATGCGTATGGTAATGCTTGGTATTTCATTGGACTGAAAATCAAGAAAGAAGCTTTTTATTCTGAGTCAATTTTATATTTTAGTAATCTAATTTTCATTTTTCTAAACCTCAGCACTTTGAAAAATTCTTATACCCCCAAAATGTTCATGCGTTAAATTTTTCTGTCATAGATCTGGAATATGAAGACCACAGAATGTTCAAATACCTTTAAATCGCTGGGCAGCACTGCAGGGACAGATATCACTGTCAACAGTGTGATCCTGCTTCCTAAAAACCCAGAGCACTTTGTGGTGTGCAACAGATCAAACACAGTGGTCATCATGAACATGCAGGGGCAGGTGAGTGCTCACAAAGTGCCTTTGCACAGATCCTGTGGGCTATTCCCAAATCAGCATGTCTTGGTCCTGGCCCTTCCAGTGACCAAATATGAGTTCACCATGCCCCAAACCATATGCTCTGTATTTGTTTTTTGGGCACTTTTATTTAAACTATACATTTTTGTATATCTCTTTAGTGTCTCAAAGGGTTACCTTCTTTTGCATTCTTTGGATAAATGAGGCTCTGATCTGTCTTTAAGTCTCCTTCAGAATCTCACTGAGGATTTTAAGATAGTAATCTCTGGGTAAGGGAGGTATATAGTCTGTGGATTACCAAGTTCGGACATTTCCTAGCCACTACATGATCTAAGGTGAAACTCATAGGAGAAGGACAACAGTGTTTTTATGATGTGTATTTCTAGTCAGGACACCTGCATGGTTCCCAAGGAACCTCACTTTTGTAGTACCAGAGACATTAGGACATCAAGATTGAGGTCTCAAGCTGTGGGAATGTGTTGTGGTGCTACTGAAATGTTGGCCTGGGCACTTGTGGATCCTGCTGAGCATGGAGAATACCAAGGGGCTGATGTATGGAACCCTCTTTCCAACTCTTTAGTCCCTATAACTGATAATTTAGTAGTTTAGAACCCATGGTTCAGATGGCTGGTCTGTAGTACTTGCTGGGCCCCTGCATAATAGTCCAATTTCCTGCCCATTTCTTTGTTTTCTGATTTGGAGGACTTCTTATTTTAAAAAATCTTAGATTCATAAAGAAATTGCAAAAACAGTTTAGAGGGTGCCTGTTTACCCTTTCCCCAGTGATAATGTCCTTTATAACCTTAGTGCAATTACCAATACCAGGAGATTGACATTGGTACAATACTGTTAACTCAAAAAATCTTACTTGGATTTTACCACTTTTTATATGCATTCATTTTGAAGTGGGAAGTTGATTCTATGTAATTACCACCACAATCAAGATACAGAACTGTATCATCACCCCCAAAGAAACTCTCTTGTGCTATACCTTTATAGTCAGACCCTAACCCCTGACAACCACTGATTTATTTCTCATTATTATAGTTTTATCATTTTGAAAATGGTGTATAAATGGAATCATGTGGTATGTAACCTTTTAGCCATTGAGGTTGGTTTCTGTCAGCCTGACTTGTGATTTTAGTAGTATATAAATAGAGCAAGCAAGGACTTAGAGACAGAGTTCTGTCCTACATGGGGAGAGCATCTCATTCTGTTAGAAAGAGGAAACTGGGGAGCATGAGTCCAGAGCATTGAGAACCAATGGCGTATGATTTAGAAATTATTGTATATGTGGTAGTGAATTGGCTTCAGATAAAATGACTCAGTAGACTAAAGAGCAGGATTGGTGACTTGGGACGTAGGAATTCTAAATTTATGACTGCCACTCATTTTAGATAGCTTATCTGTTGAATATTTTTTAGGCAAGAGGATTTAGCACATGATGATTGGAATTGGTGATCTCATTATAGGGGACAGTAAACCAAAAGAGCAAAATAACAATGTTAAGATGTCAGAACTGCTGCTAATCCAGATGTTTTGTTTTTGCCTTACACTGCTGTATGATCTAGATTGTCAGAAGCTTCAGCTCTGGTAAGAGAGAAGGTGGTGACTTTGTTTGCTGTGCCCTCTCCCCCCGCGGTGAATGGATCTACTGTGTAGGGGAGGACTTTGTGCTCTATTGCTTTAGCACAGTCACTGGCAAACTGGAGAGAACTTTGACAGTGAGTATTACTGACATAGGCCATCTAAAGAAATTACATTAATGCTTGTATCTTTCTGAATTTTGAAGTAACCTGCTTTCTCCAGACTGCTGTCACTGTGAGTCTAGGTATAAAAAACATAAAAATTTTATCATTAAATAAAGGGCCCTGTAGTAATTGTATGGAATTACCTCCTGTCTCAGGAGAAATCATCCTTCAGTGAGCTCTCAGCTTCAAAGTGGATAGGATGCGTGTATATACAACAGAAAAGAAAGAAAGGAGCATGCCTGTCTAGCAAGCTGGATTAGCCATATCTTCCACAGAAGAATTGGAGAGTGACAGAGCTAGTTATCTCCATGTCCTTTTATTGGCAAATTACTTTTACATTCCCATCAGATCGATTTGATAATGATGTCTTTAAGTAATTGTGTGTTGTATCAGTACAAGGATTAATTAATGCCAGCTTTAATAACCAATCCCTAAATTTCAGTGGCTTAACACTATGAAAGTTTATTATTATATCATGATGTGATAGGAGTTGGATAACCTTCCTCTTCTCATAGCTGTGTCATTTGGAATATGTGGCCTCCAAGATGTCAGGAGGAGAAAAGATAGCTGGAGCACTCTACTGGATGCTATTAAGATCCATATCTGGAAGTGGCTTATATTTGTTCCTCATTCTTTTTTCAGTTAACTCAGTCCTATGTAACTTTTTTTTTTTTTATTAAGGTATCATTGATACACACTCTTACGAAGGTTTCACAAGAAAAACGATGTGGTTATTACATTCACCCTTACTGTCGAGTCCCCCCCCATACCCCATTGCAGTCACTGTCCATCAGTGTAGTAAGATGCCACAGAGTCCCCATTTGTCTTCTCTGAGCTGCATTGTCTTCCCCGTGAACCCTTACATACCGTGTGCACCAATCATCTCATTCTTTTCTTGTTAGAATTCAGTCACATGGCCACAACTTAAATTCAAGGGGGACAGGGAAAATGTAGTTTTCTCTGTTCCAGGAAGAAAAAGAAATATGGTGAACATATAAAAAATTGTATATATACGCATGTTAGGGAATAATCTCATGTTAATCATGAGTACTTTGGGTGCATCTGTCCTGTGAAGCCTGAGTACACATCTAAGATGTGAGTAAAATAAGGTGAGACGGAGAGTGTCCTCTAGCTGAAGGGCGTGGACAATACAGGTTCACTGAGTTGAAGGAATCATTTGGTCTCAGCCACTATCCTGGCCTAGAATTTACAAAATGGTGATGATTAGGGTCTGCTATAGTGAGGAGGTGATTTGGAACAAAGTATTATTCACACATAGTGAAAAACAGTATGAAAAATAAACATGTGTGATAGCCTCATTGAAATTTTGGTTTGTGTGTTTACCCCTTTTTGAGGCTGCATTAGGCTTGATTCCTTTGGTAAGAAATGGAAGCTTCACCATTCTTCCAATCAGCCCTGGAAGCCTCTTCAAAATGATTTTTTAATAGACCCACATACCCTAACCCTGTTTTCCAGGTTCACGAGAAGGATGTGATTGGTATCGCTCATCACCCTCACCAGAACCTGATTGCTACCTACAGTGAAGATGGCCTCCTAAAGCTCTGGAAACCCTAATTCAACTTTTCTTTTTAAGCTAGCTTGATATCATGTACTTGATATTCATGTATTGCTTTCTTTTTTTAGGCCAGCTTTTCTAAGCAAATTGAGGTAGGCACAATAATTATTTTGTGCAAATACATGTTTAAGTAGCAGTTACTCTTTTTTACATATTTTAAAGGTATTCATCTGTTTCTAATTGTGGTGTCACTTAATATTTTCAATAATCTACCTGGAGAATGAAATAATGGTATTTCTAGGAAAAAATTATACTCCTTTAATTATTGGAAGTGCTGATTAAAATGTACCTCTTGCAGTAAAACCTGTAAATAAAGAGCTAACTGTCCCGTATTCAGTAGCTGTTTGCTGTTCCCATCCTTTTTTTTTAGATGTCAATAAACTCTATGCCTTTCTGGAGACTTTGTTTTAAATGTAAATAAATGCTCACTCAGTTAACATTTACTTAGAGTCAAGTGAAGGTGGGTGGAACACAGTATTATCCATGAATCTTTAAGTACAGTAGCAAGTCAGTTCCTGGGTAGAAGGATAAACTGAATGTAAAAAAGTCAGGTGTTGCATAGACTCTCATTTCACTGCCCTTACCTGTCCACTCATTTGTCTTAGCTGTACCTTTTCCCATGTTATGGCCAACTCTAAAAAAATATCATCTCTATCTTCTAGATAGAACTAGTTGCAGGATCCATTATGAGAATTCAGTTTTGGCATCTCCCCTTTGTATGTGAAGGAGGGTTTGGCATTGAAAATGTGCTGCTGTTTTGAAGAAAAATTAGAAAAGGACCTGAGATTTAGAAGCCTTTTTTTTGCTATGTGCATCATTACCTGTTAAAGAAAAAAGTTGAAAGCCAACAAAACCCCTGACAGTGTTTTGTTTCAACTAATGATGCAGTATGAACTCAAGTTGATCTTGATACTGGTACCATTTCAAGAAAGTTAGACCTTGTTTGTGTAGGTCTTTTATGCCCCCTTTAAATTTTAGCATTTACTAGGCACAAAGTAGTTGGGAACTTAAAAAAATTTTGCAGTCTTATAATTTACCTTTGATTGTAATTTGGAAATACAGCCTAATTCTGGGCCTGCTTTAATAATGCTTAGTGTTGGCTGCATTCATAGAAACCCTAAGATTAAATTCCTCTTTCCTGGTTATATTCCCAAAACTTTTTTTCTTTTTGCCACAAAACCTGCAGCTTTTGACAGAATGTCATTTGCTGCCATTTTGAGAGGTGAAAGCCGTGAATCCATGAATTCATGTAAATGAAATCTGCCATCCCAGTGAAAGAAGTGGAAAGAGAAAACAGCTTATGCTAAAATTCCTTAGAACGATCTGCAAGAAATTGCATGTTTTAGCCTGTGACCTCATGAACTGGCAATTGTGCACACTATTTAAGAAAAAGGAAACAGCAGGCCAGTATGGAGTCAACTTGTGCTAAGTCCTAAGTTAGCAAACCGAGACTTAATACCCAACCTAACTGCAGTTTCGGCCTCTCCCAGGCATGTAACCTTTAACACTCAATGTGGAATTACCTGGCCAATGCTAGTGAAGTAATGTGCCTGATAGACCCCGCCCATCCCCCAGAGGAAGGTGACCTTTCCAGAAATAATCATTCTTTGTTAGGAATTCCCTTTTCCTACTCTTCTGTAAATCCTTTCATTTTGTGCAGCTCTTCAGAGCTTCTGTCTACTAGAGAGGATGTTGTCTGATTCACCAATCATTGAATAAAGTCAACTAGATCTTCAAGTTTACTCAGTTGAATTTTATTTTTTAAAAATACTTTGTTGATGGACAGTGACTATAATGGGGTATGTGGGAGGAACTTGGTGATGGGGGGAGTCTAATAAACATGTTCCTCAAGTAACTGTAGATTAATGATAACAAAATAAAAAAAAATACTTTGTGCCAAGGCTCATAAGCAAGA